ACGGACGGTGCGGTGGTGCACGGCGGTGGCAAAGCTGTGTCAGGGGTGGCTAGGCGGTGGTAGTGATTAGGCAAAGGTGCGCAGCTGAAGAGTAGGTGGAGGCAAAGCTGGCGGTGCAACGAATTGAACACGAGGAGCTTTGGATTAGGACTTTGCCGTCGATGCGTGCCATGGCGGTCTTAACGACCCGGCGAGAGGAAAACTCCAAATTGGAGAATGGCACAGCATGGATCACGACGCGATGGGGTTGGGTGGCTAGCTGACTACACCACAAAGCTGTGGACTGAGATAATTTGGACCGAGGTGGCTCCACCAGGTCGAATTGCAAGCGCGGGTCCGGCGACCAAGGCAACAGAGGAACAGGGGATGGCCGGCAAGGCTTGGCACGACGTTGCCATGGCGGGACGTGGCTGTTAACTCAAAGCACAATTGCACACGTGCTACAGGGCAATGGGGAGCCAGTCAAGCGCTCATAGGAATGGTTTGGTTGCAATGCCATAACTCACAAGCCGACAGCGGCTCGGCCCTACGCGCCGCAGTGGACGGCGCCGACCAAGGGAGAGGCCGCAGCGTGGCGTCACATCGGGCGCGGACGTGATGGTAAGGCAGGCCCACACAGGGCAAAGCGACGGTGCGGATGAGCACGCATGGGCGCGGCAGCAGCGGCCAGCAGCGCAAAGCCAGCGGCAGGCCCGGCCAGCGCGGTGGCACGCGTGCGGGCATTCGTGCTCGTGTGCGCGAGCGCATGCCAGGGCGTGGAAACGGTGGTGCGGCCTACGCGGCGGTGCGTGCCAGGGCAAGCCAAGGCTACGGCACCGAACCAAACCGAGTCGGTGACCATGTCCAGATGCTGACGCTGGCCGAGAACGTGCCTTGCACGCTTTCAAAGCGGTCCTAAAACCCAACTCGTTGATCCAATTGCTAAACCAGTTTTTCTACACTCAAGAGGGTATGTTAAACTACTGAAACAAACCCTAATACCCTACCATTGCTTAACCCAAATTTCCTACAAAAATTGTCAAACTTAGCTTCGTCGAACTATTTTCCGATTTACGAAAATTGTCTAAGTTCTTATCGATTTCGCGTCGAATTCGATTTCCAAGCTATCAAGTATGCTAGCGAGCGAATCCCATTCTCGCCCGCAAGTATTTCACTGCCACCTACGAAGTTTGTACTACCAACTTTATTAAAGTGCCACATACACGTTCTATAGCATTTTTGTTCAATAAAAATTCATTTAGAACCCTAAGTGATATATCGCAACATGAAACATAACATTCGTTTCGTGTTTCCGATGAACGTTTCGAGCTGTAGAAATTGATTTACACACTATAATTCATGCACTATCATATAAATATGATGCACATGCAATGCTTTAGCAAAAATTGTACAGTATAACACCGAGGGTGTTACAGGGGTTTGGTGATATCTCGTGTGGACTACCATGGCTGGCATTACTGGGTGTCGTCTCGCGATGATGGCCACCAGAAGACAGCAACGAACCCCTGTCGTGGGGAGTGTGTCCCCACATAGTTATTAGTTGGTCAAGGCATTTGGGCATTTTGGTACGTTCTACAGCAAATTGGCTATTTTCCTGCACGGGTGCCATGGATCCAAGGGTTAGAATAAATAGAATGGGAACATCCCTAGCACTGGTTAGTGGGGGGTAGAAAGGAATTAGGTGGAAGTTTGTACCACGTTGCCACCCTCAAAGAACGAGGGGTCAACTGTGATGCCTCTTGTAGTCAGGTCTCGATCTAGGCCAGTGTGGGTTTGCAGGTCATGCCAAAGAAAATATGACCGCTTTCATTTCGTTGAACTTGTTCTGCAACTGTTTCTTGTCATACGTCAACCCCGTTGCCTTTGCGAATGCTGGATACACATTAGCCCAGCCCACGATTGTGAGGCCTCGCTGGTTCCAGTGCAATAGGTTTTCCTGTTCTATCACTAGTTCCAGAAAGGTCCTCATGGTGGCGTCATCCCAGTTGGCACGATCCATGGACATCTGTTGCCATGTTTAAAATGTAGGGTATGATGAACGCAGTATAGACACAAAAAATAGCAGCTCTTAGCATGACAAACAAGAGAGTTAGGGCGAAAGAAATGCGGACGTGCCTTGGCAGAACGCTTGGTGTGTTTCGAACGAAGGTTGTGTTGCCTGGCTTCAGGTGAAGAGCACGATGAAGTGGAGGACGCTGCTAGTATGGGCAGCATTGAGAAGCACTTGCGAGCGGTGCACTGAAAGAAACAAACAAAAAACACCTTGTCAATGAAAATATATGTGCACAATGGGGAATCATAGATACAAAAGCAACCCAAAAAATCGGCAACCCATTTCATGTTTCGACATAACTAATTGTCATATCAAATTTGCATCCGAGACCATAGACACAAAACAACAAGAAAAAAGCAGTAGTAGTTTCTCTCATCGTTGAAATGATGTGAAGTGGTGGTGACAAGGTGAAGCAGTACGAAATTGCAAAAAGCAGCTCATAAGATTTTAAGGTTGACAAATCATAATTTGAACAGACAAACATGAAGGTTTTGTTTGGCTTTGAAGGGTATATAATCATAACTAATATCAAAGGATCAACTAAAGCAAGGTGCACTCCCCATCAATTGATCCATTACAGTAGCAAATGGCAAGTGTCAGACAGTACAAGATTACGTAGGCACTGCTCATACTACCACATCCAAATTGAGAAATGGTACACTTAAAGAAAAAGGGTCCACCATGAGTCTATGCATGTCGCTCCAGGGAGGTGAGACGAACATGGGAGCTAGGATCCCCCGCGTACCCTCCCCCCCATAGACAAACCCTAGAAAACAAAATCAAAACCAAACTACAATTGAACCTACAACCTGAACATGAGTTATAAATTTGAGATGGCAAAACCACATTCAGATCAAACCAAAAGTAGACCACCACACAAAACAAACAATGAATAAGAATAAAAGGGGCACGAGAGAACATAGGTCGACAAAACCTATGAACCGATGGACGGCTAGGGGTTCGAATCCTGGGAGGCAGCGGTGGAGGGGAAGGACGGAAGGGGCGTGGGGAAAGTGGCGGCGGGGCGCGGTACGGAGGCAATGAGTAGGGAGAGTTGGGACGCAGGTTTACAAGAACGAACCTAGGGTCACCGGATCCGGCGAGGCGGCAAGCGATTTTGGTGATCTGAGATGTAGCACTTGAGGGCGGAAGGCGATTCCAGGCTGCTAAGATGGGGATCTGTGGGCGGCGGTCCGGACTCACCTGCAAAACGAGAACGTGGGGGTCAGATCTGGAGGGGGAGGGACGACGCCGGACGCGTAACCGGGTTTACTTGTCGTCGGCGGACGGGAGTCGATGGCGGCGGGTTCGGGGAGGGATGCGGAGCAGACGGTCGGCGCAGAAGGCGCGCTATCGACGGCGACGGTGCGCCCTCACAGCGTTGCGAGGCGGGCAGGGACGGATCTACTTACGGCGGCCGGGGCAGGCACGGCGAAGCGGAGGTCACGGCCGCCGCGGTTGGCGCGGAAGTGAGAGGGTGAGCGGCGCGCGAGCGAAACCCTAGCGGCTATCGGGGGAACGGGACGACGGGAGAGAGTGCGAAGCGGAGCTAAGGATCGGCTTGTAGATCATCTATTCGGCTGGTGCTGGACCACCGAACGGCTAGGCTATTCAACCCAGCCAAAACCAGCCCAGCCAGCCAATTAAGTCCAGCACAATCCAGCCATCGTCGTCGTGAAATACTACGCGGTAGCCGTAGCACGGCTCTAGTCTAGTCTTGGTGCCACCGCGTCGACAGCGCGAGGGGTTCGTGCGCGTGGCGCCAAACGCAAACGTCCGTCCAACCTGGAGTTAAACACCCTACAACCTGCTAGGTTGTTATTAGGCGGGCCTGATTGATTATTTGAGAGATGAGAGTCGTTGCTTCACATCACGAGATGCGATGTGATTTTGAGATGAGAGACCATGCAAGCTTGACAGACAACAGCAAATGGTCAAGCGGCCCTGATGATGCATGCACGGACGGCAAACCATAGGCTTTCCCGGCCGTAAGCTACTGCACCCTACACTTCATAATAAGCGACGATATAACTAATGCAATGCAGAAAGGCAAAGCCACTAGAGCAGTCCCAATGAAAAAAACTAGTAGTTTCTATAACATAGGATACTGCATAAAAAAGTACTGCTTTTCAACCCATTGTTTATATGAGTAATAATTATTTTCTCTTTCTCTTTCCCAACTCTATCTTCTTCCTCCAATGAGCGTGTGACACGAGCCCCTAGAAACTGGTGGTTTCTCCCCCATAACGATTTTATGGTTTCTTGGTGCATTGGATCAAGAGAAGACCTGATTTCTTCATGAGGAAACAATTTCTAGGATTTTTGCTCTCTTTCTTCATTAATTACGTTGCCATGTCAGTATTTTACCTACGTGACAAGTCATTTAATAAGAATAGAAACCATCATCAATACACCATTGGGACTGCCTTAGGTCAAAGTCACTTATGCAAGTAAATTAAGGAACGGAAAGCAGCATAGCATCCATCTTGATCGTAAAGTCAATTGGAGTCGAGTCTATCTAATCACGGTGGAATGTTCCTCCATGCACCCATCGACAGTGCGACGAAGGAAACAAACGAGATCTCGCCCCCGGAGAACAGGGCCTGCATGTTCCCCGGAAGGCCGGAATTCTTCCGAGCTTCTTCCAGTAGTATATTTGTAGCATTATATATTATTATTAAAGTAAAATAAAAAAACAAACAGAAGCCAGAAACCGATTAGAAATGAAACGGGTCTCACGGAATCCCGGCCCGGCCCATCACCATCCAATCACCGCCCCACACCACCTCCCTCGTGTCCCCTTCAAATCAAATTAAAATCCCCACCACCACCTCTCTCCTCTCCTCTCTGCTCTGCGCTTCTTCGTCTCCTTCCACCTCCCCTGTGGCCCTGTCCAGCAGCTCACTCCCTCCACCCCCGAACCAGCACTACCACCGCGCCATCCGCGATGCCACCGGACGACAACGCCGCGGGGGGCACGGGCATGGGCGCGGACATCGCGGCGGACGAGCTGCAGAGCCTGAGCTTCGGCTCCTCCTCGGACCGCTCGCGCTCGCGGTCCGCCTCAACAGTCTCCACCGCGACAGCGTCCTGCTCCACCTCCTCGTCGGGGCCACTCCACCACCACCTCTCGCTCCCGCCCCCTCCCTCTCGCCGCGCCCCCACCACCCCCGCCTCCACTACCTCCGCCACCACCCTCCCCACGCAGATCCCGCGCCTCGGCGCCGTCGCCCTCTCCGACATCCGCTTCCTGCGTCGCCTCGGCGCCGGCGACATCGGCAGCGTGTACCTGGCCGAGGTCAGGCCACCCGCCGCCGCCGCCAAGGCGGAGGACAAGGAGAAGGACAAACACCCGCCGCCGCCGCTGGTGGTGGCCGCCAAGGTGATGGACCGGAAGGAGCTGGAGGGCCGCAACAGGAGGGCCGCGCCCGCACGGAGCGCGAGATCCTGGAGGCCGTCGACCACCCGTTCCTGCCCCGCCTCTACGGCGTCGCGGAAGGGGACCGCTGGTCCTGCCTCCTCACCGAGTTCTGCCCCGGCGGCGACCTCCACGTCCTCCGCCAGCGCCAACCGCACCGACGCTTCTCCGAGGCCGCCGTCAGGTGCGTCGCCCACTCTCTCTCTCTCCCCCCTGCGCCATGCCAAACCTTCGTTCGCCGCCGCCGTGATCAGCATTTCTTTTTCTTATTACTCGCGCAACAACGAAAATCATTTATGCGTGCATTTCAAATCCGTACTAGTACTACTAGTAGTAGTTACTGAATTTGAAGATCGTATGAACATTTTTCAAAAAAAAAAAAAAGTGTTTTGGGCGCCATTGACGATCCGTAGCTAGTAAGCTAGCGATTCTAGGCTTTTTCGGAGGAGAAGAATCAGGCAGGTTTCCTGCGGGTTGTGATTGCCGCGGCACTCTGTCTGTTTCCTTGCCTAATAAAATTTTCCTACTATTCTACTACTTGATTTTGTTTCCTTTGGGGTGTTGCTGGTGTAGTTTAAGGATCCGGTGGATGCAGTCGGGGCCCCATGTGTCTTCGGTTGGGCACGCATCCGCCTGGTTTCCTCCCGTACTCTGAAACCTGCTGAATGATGAAAGCGTTTCGTCGTGACCAACACACGCACACACACTACAGCGTAGCATCAGGTCGCTGCCGCACACACAAGACCTTTTTTTTCTCTATTTGATTGATGATGAGGAAAATTTGGATACTACCTGACTTTTTTTAGAAATAAAGGCAACGGAAAGAAGGGGAAAGAAAGATGGTTTGGAGACCAGATCAGGAAACACTTGTCCACCATGGTCACCACGTTTGTGGCATCATCCATCAGAGAAAAATGCAGAGACTTGCGTTCGTTAGAGTTGAGGACTGGATGGATGGAGCTCACTGTCACAGGCTCACAGTGCATTGCTTTCGTTGCCGTGCATGCTGTGACCGTGTGAGGACTTACTGTGAGTGAGCCTGAGCCACACGAGCACACCACAGAGTCCTCGATACAGCGTTTTTCTTCCGTAACAAATCAGCAGTACTTTTCGGCCTGCCTTTTCTACCGAGCGAACGGGGCCCGAGCCTGTCCATGCGGTAAGTAGTAAAAGCTGTGTGCGTGCCACATGCGCTTGCACCAGTCGTCGTCGTGCAATTGCAAACCTGCAAACCCTGTCCTGCGTAGCGTAGGTAGAGGCACGCAGGACCCAGATTCTGTTTACTGCCTTCATCAGTACGTACGGTAACAAGCGGTAGCAGCACGTGGTATACATCCCGTAGAGTACGTACATTCACGGATGCAGGATTTTACTTTGGCTTGCAGAAGACAGACTTTACTATACTACCAGCACGGCAGCACCAGCCAAGACACGTACAGTTGTACGAGTACCTACTAGTTCCCTACGCTAAGACTGTAGACTGACCGTAGTGGTTGGTTGGCTGGTTGCAACAGTGGGGCACGTGCTGCCTGCTGCTACGGCCGCTCCATCGATTGCACGCGTGCGTGTCTACTTGCTCCCCCCGCCACGCCTGCCACCAGTAAGTGCAGCCGGCAGGCGGCAGGGGCAGTACGTAGCGCTGGTAGGCGACCAGCAACCACTACAGTCGTCATCGGCTCATCGTGGCGCGCACATGGTACGGCGGCCGGGGCCGCGCTGACTGATGGCGACGGGCACGAGCGCACGAGCGGCGCCCCCCGTGCGCTGCGGCGGCGGCGGCGCAGGCGCAGGAGGTGCTGGAGTCACGCCGGCCGTTCCGCCCGGGAACGTGACACCGTCACTACCCATGCAGTGCAATCAGTACGGTAGTTACTGATGCTCTGTTTATAATTGTACGCACTTGCTTAGTTTGCATTGGTCAAGGAGGCCTTTATTAACCCCCACCCCATGTGATCCTCGAGAATGACAGCTCTGAAGCACATACACGTACACCTAGGTCAGTAGGTCTGACTGAGTAATTGGCTACTATAGGTTGGGCATTTCTTGCAGGGACTAATCTACTAATCTCAGCCAACGAGGGATTCAGTTAACTAACCATTAATCCACACATGCGCTTGGCACTTGCAGTTCTTGTAAAAGGATTCTAGCCTAGTTTAACCCAAGGAAGGGACTGGCAGTTGGGCACTGGCCATGCGTGCACACATGGGGTCCCTCCCTTCGCTGCAGCTATATAGTATGTTCGATGGGACTGAAAAATAAGATAAAATATTGTTCCGACTAATCATTGTGAGAGGAAAGTACTGTTTTATTTGAAAACACTGTTTATGTAAACAGTATAAGTATAAGTGCGCTGGCCAGGCCAACCCCAACCGGCCAGCCAGCCGAACGCGCTCATAACATAGACCCACGAGACTGTATGATGCCCCCACCGTGCAGCTTCCAACAGCCATGATGCGCCAATTCGAGCACTGTCCGGTGCCTTTTCCGCCGTCTGCTCTGCTGCCTACCTAACTAGGCCTGGTTTAGATTATAAGTTTTTTTATTCTCTCTCTGTCGTATCAAATCTTTAGACATATACATGGAGTATTAAATGTAGATAAAAAAAATAACTAATTACATAGTTTGATTGTAAATTACGAGACGAATCTTTTGAACCTAGTTTACAGTACCGAACCGAATACTGATTGCGAACCCAATCTCAACGAGGCCCTACGTGTGACCCTTGCTCCCGTGCTCTGTTCGCATGCATGCTGCACTGGAGCTGGAGCAGAGCATACAGTCGTATCCAACATGCCGGCACTTGATTCAGACACAGCACACGCGCCTCACCCTTGTCGTTAGTCGTTGCACAGGTGCGGCGTGGCCGTCTAGCGGTCTGGAGTGGGCTCTTTTGTCGTTAGTCGTTGCACTTATTCAGACACAGCACACGCACCTCGCTTGCAAGTAGCTTTTCTAGCTTATCAAAAAAAAAAAGCAGCTTTTCTACTACAGTCGACAGTACAGACGTGAGTAGTATGCAATTGCAGTTGTTGATGATGCGTGCTCAATGTAAAGCTTGCAATCATGGTCATGCAGAGCAAACAGGCAATGTACGCATGCGTGATGGCTTTGCTGAATGATGAAATGAACTGAAACTTTGAGATAAATTCTGAGCAATCTACCAGTACATTGCATGATGGCGTTGCCAAGTGATGACGAATGTTTATAACAAATCTAGTAATAATATACTATAGCTAAAAATGCATGACGACTGACGACGGGTGCACGCACGCAGGTTCTACGCGGCGGAGGTGGCGGCGGCGCTGGAGTACATCCACATGATGGACATCGTGTACCGCGACCTCAAGCCGGAGAACGTCCTGGTCCGCGCCGACGGCCACATCATGCTCACCGACTTCGACCTCTCCCTCAAGTGCGACCCCACGGCGCCGACGCCCGCGCACGTCATCTCCGACCCGCTCTCCCTCGCCGCCCGCCCCGCCACCTCCACGTCCTGCGCCATCTCCTCCTGCATCGTCCCCGCCGCCTCCTGCTTCCAGCTCTTCCCGGGCCGCGGGCGCCGGCGCCGGCGCTGGCGCGTCAAGAAACCGTCGTCGACGTCGAGCGGCGGCAACAGCAGTGGTGGCAGCGGGCTGGAGCTGGAGTTCGTGGCGGAGCCGGTGGAGCTGCGGTCGATGTCGTTCGTGGGCACGCACGAGTACCTGGCGCCCGAGATCGTGTCCGGGGAAGGGCACGGCAGCTCCGTGGACTGGTGGACGCTGGGCGTCTTCGTCTTCGAGCTCCTGTACGGGGTCACGCCCTTCAAGGGCTACGACAACGAGATGACGCTGGCCAACATCGTGGCGCGCGCGCTCGAGTTTCCCCGGGACCCCGCCGTGTCGTCGGCCGCCAGGGACCTCGTCACCGCGCTGCTCGCCAAGGACCCCGCCCGCAGGCTCGGCGCCACCGTTGGCGCCGCCGCCATCAAGCGCCACCCCTTCTTCGCCGGCGTCAACTGGGCGCTCCTCCGCTGCGCCACGCCGCCCTACGTGCCGCCGCCCTTCAGCGTCGCCAACAAGGCTGGTGGTGGCGGGAGCAACGGCAAGGGTGACTGCGGCGACGATGACGGCGACGTGTCGGACGATAGTTGTCCTGGCACGCCCGTGGAGTACTACTAGAGGAAGAAGCCAGGGAGAAGCAGCGTCGGCCGTGTCTGTCCGGCGTTGGTCGTACGGGCGTGCGCGCACGAGGAAGAAGCCGCGCGCGGCCCTGCCGGTCGGTCGGTGGGTCGGTTGGTCGGTTCAGTCGTGTCGCCGGGATGGGGTGGGGTGGGCCCCAATCAGGCAGGCACCTCCTCTTGTCCGAGTCCGGCGGGGGCCAGGCGCGTGCACGTGGTGGGGGACGGATGGACCACGGCGCATGGCGCGCACGAGGCGTCCGGACGGACGGGCTGACGGAGGAGGCAGGGCGCGCTGTCGCCTCAAGTGGCTGCCGGCTGCGTGTCTCCGACTCCGAGAGAGCTCGTGTCCGTTTCTTGTTGTTGCCTGGCTGCAGCACGCATGTCATAACCTGGCGGCCGCGCGCCGTGCCATTGAGGCCTGGCTGCCTTGGTCAGTACAACCCTGCCCCTGTAGCGTTCTTGTTCTAATATATGTTTTTTTTTAAGTAAGGGCAGGAGCTCTGTCATTCATTAAGGGGATAAGGAGGAGTTATATGTACAGAGGTTCTAATATATGTTACGGGGTGCTGCTTGGAACGCAGGAAATGTCAGAGGTGAACGAACGTCTTGTGTTCCAAGCAGGACCTCAGGATTTGTATTAGGGCGTGTTTAGTTCTGGAAATTTTTGGCTTTTGGCTACTGTAGCATTTTGTTTGTATTTGGCAAAAATTATCCAATTATGTACTATTTAGGCTTAAAAGATTCGTCTTACAATTTCTCGGCTAACTGTGTAATTAGTTTTTTTTTCGTCTACATTTAGTACTCTATGTATGTACCGCAAGATTCGATGTGACGGTTACTGCGTAAATTTTTTTGGATTTTGGGAGAAACTAAACGGGGCCTTAGTATGTTCGAAGCAAGATAGTACAAAGTCATTGGGCGAAGCTGCTCATCGTGATACTCCAGAATGGTGGGGGATGCAGGCATCAGACATGGGGCATGCGAATGATACGCGGTGCTGGGCTGCCGGCCGGGGCGTGGACTGGGCCAGGGCTGAGGCTTTGGGCTCTAACCGAGGGACACGAGACGCCAAGGTGATGATCAGGGAGGGGCGCAGTGGCCAGTGGGGATAGTGGCCCGGAGATTCCGGCGCGCCGCGCTCGTGCACGTCGGCTGAAACATCAAACACGTACTGCCGCGCGTCTGCACTGGTGGGCGCCTACTTCTAGACTGCAGCAGATGCAATGCAATGCAGCCGTGGTGCATCGCCGACCGGCCGATCGCTGAGCTACCTTTACCTGTTGCCGCTCAGGCACTCTCAGGCTGTACCTACAGTGTAAAAGGTAAAAAGATGGGGAGCATGGATCGGAATGGATTGTTGGTTCACCAAAGATGGTAGCTGCTGCACACTGCAAAAAGCAGACGCATATACCAGCGGCTGGGTGTATAAAGGGGGTAAAGGGCTGGATAAAGGGCGAAAGTCGGTCTACCGTTGACGCAGGCGAAAGTCGCTAACCCAAAGCAGGCACCTTCCCTCCCTCCCGAAAAAGGGAAGAAAAAAAAGAGAGCAGGAACTCCACCGGATGCACGGTCATGTGAGAACGACGTGACTGCATGTTCCCCTGTAGGTGATCTCAGGTGTAGGAACACATGAGAGAGACATGGGCCAGGCCCCACTAGTGACTTAAGCTGTTAAACATGACCCAAACAGCGATTCTTTTTCTTTTTGTGTCGAATAATTAATGAATAGTAACATTTTAAAGAAAAATGCAGCCACTGAAGAATCCACCGTAATGTTGGATGCTTGAGTCCAAAGGACGACTCCAAAGAATGAGCCCAGCAACGCAAGTGTAGGCCTCATCCTTGTTGGGCTGCTTTCAGCCCGAAACGAACCAGCGTTTTGGTGGGCTATACTTTGGCCCGTGCCAGCTACCGTGGAACAGCGACCGGCCAGGTCATGTTAGCACGACTCAGGCCGCCTGGTCAGAGTTGCGCTTGGGAAAGTCGGTGTTTTTTTTTTTAACCTGGAAGTCGGTGTTTTTCGAGCTGTGTCTAAAACTGCGTACTATGGGAGCACTTAGAGATACTTGGCATTGTACCATACAGGAACAATTGCCATGTTTCTCCCTACTGTAGAGCATCATAAGAAAAATGGTGATATTAGTTTTCATTTCACAAGGTCAGGTGAAACTGTTAGCCTTTTTTCTTTTTTACGGCGGCCTCAATCAAGTTTTATATGCAATTGGTCAACTCGGACCCGAAATGCTTAGAGCATCCCCAGGAGTACCTTATTTTTTCCTCCGAAAACATGTAGTTTTGCAACTCCCGAAAAGGTATTGCGAGGATAAAAGAAGGCCATCGTCAAGAGTTTCCAATAAATGGCTTAAAAAAACAAATTTTGGTCCCAAAACTTTTTTTTTGCATCTTTTCCCCGCGAGTTCGATCCGTCGCACAGAAACCTACATCGGTCGCGTGTATCCCATCGCCGCCTCCTCCTCCCTGCTGTCTATGGCCACATCCCAGGCGACAGCAGGCACCTCCCAGCCGGCTGTTGCCTCCTCCTACCTTGTCACGCCCTCCAACAGGCCGGCCGCAGGCACCTCCTAGCGAGCCCTCCACGTTAGACGTCATGAGTAGTCACAAATCACTACTGCAAAGAGAATTGAATGATTAATCATCAGACGACGATGAATATTTGATCTTCTCAGCAGCTCAAATTGTGCAAACATATTCGAATCAAAGAGGAAGATATGGTGGTTCGGTCCCAGGCCATATAGTTATTTATCGAGATAGAGAAGGCGGACAGCAAAGGATGTTTCAAGATTACTTGGCTCATGAATTCGACTCCAAAAGAAGGCACGAGATTGATTAGCCCCGTGCACGTGATCTTTGCTAACATTCAACCATGCTGACACAACAACTTTATCCTCCTTTAGATCAAAAATTTTTGTTCTCTTCGAATAAGGCCTTGTACTGCGACGGCGCGGAGCACCTTCACATGCCTGCACATCAACTTCCGAACTTCAGTAGGCATCTCATTAATTTCCTGGGTCTCCCGTGTCACGGGAAAAGTGAAGTCTTCCAATCCAGCACCATCATCCACTCTCGTGACCATGTTTGTCCAAAATCCACCCCCGACATTGGGAGGATCCTACAAGAATTCACAAATAAATCAATGCCCATAATCATGTACAAGAGAATAATTTTTACACCATCAGAGATCAGCATATATTGAAAAAAATGTCCAAGATCTACACTATGTTAGGCAGTCTGAAGTCTGAACAGACACGCTTGTATTGATTGTCTGCACAAAGCTATGGGAGGCCGCTCGATACAGTAGAAAGGAATAGCGCGCCGCGTAGAATCGGAAAATCAGAATCGAGGGGCCGTGTCACGACCCGCAGCTGAGAAGGAGGGCAGGCTTCCCGGCCAAGGGCAATGTACCACCCAGCGTGCGGACCAAAGCCACACGCAATCTCCAGGCCAAGGGAGACCCAGGTTGGCCGACGGCCGGCAGCCATGGCCAGGTGCAGGCAAGCAGGGGTGGCAAGCAGCGCCCTCTGCTAGGCCAAACGCGGCTGCGGCCAGTCCTTCCCCTGTAGGAGGCAGCTGTGGCCAGCTATGGCTACCGCTGCCATGGCCAGCGATGGTCATGGACTCCAGGCGACGGTTATGAAAACCCTAGCGACCGGGAAAGCACTAGATGAGTTGATCCATGGCATACCTCAACCCTAGGTCGGCGGCGTCAAAGATCCTTTCCCCTGGATGGAGCCTGGGCTATGGCGCGATGTAACACCCTAAAATTTGCTTTTTTCAAAAAAGATATAAATTGATTTAATTTTGTATTTTGTGCTCATAAAATATAGGAAAAAGAATATTTTTCCTTTTTTCATTATATTTAAAATTCATTATAAGGGGTAGCAACATGGATGTGCAAACATGCCGTTGCATTTGATTCATTCCAATGAGTGGTTGAATCCAAAATGCAAAATGAATTCAAAATGCTTTTGAAATTGGCTTTGAAGTAAAAGAAAAGAAAGAAAAAGAGAATTGGAAAATAAAAGAGTTTAAAAAGGATTGTAAAATTTATTTTTGGAAGCTTACTAAAATTGCTCATTTTTATTGGAATTGAAAAGTACATTTGAAACTATATTTGAATTTGAATTGGATCATATTTGAATTTGATTAAAAAGGAAAATAGAAAAGGTTTGGAAAATGAAAAAATTATTTCTACCGCAATCTGGCCCGAAGGCCTGCTCCTCCCCATCCTTTTCTTTTTCTCCCACGGCCCAGTAGCAAGTCAGCGCATCCCACCTTTCCTTTCTATCGTAGCCCAGCAAGGCCACAGGCCCACTCCCTCTCGGCCCAGCGTCACTCGCCGCTCCCCTCTCCTCTCTCTCTCTCAGGGCAGGCCCATGCGTCAGCACCTTCTTCTCGAGTTGGCTCCGTCTACCTCCGCACGTATTCACGCCAGAGTATGCCGCGAGACTCCGCGCCGCTCCCGTCTCGTCCGTTGCCGTGCCGCCCATGTCTTCCCACTCCATAAAAGCTGAAGCCCGCATCGTGCCGCCCTCACCTAGCCGCCTCCGAGCCGCCACCCGTGCCCTAATCGTAGCCACTGCAGCCCTAGCGCCGTCATAAGAGATCCGCCACCGTCGCGTTCGTCGTTCCGCTGCCTCTTCGCCTCCGCGACTACCTTGCCGGGCTTCTACGTGAGGTAAGCAAGCTTCGAGTACCGCCCTTGACCCCTCTCTCGCTTTCAACCGCCGGTGCGAGCTTGTCGTTGCATCGTTGGATTTCTGAGCTGCCAAATCAAGCACCCCGTCGTCCCCATGCCGTCGCAGCCGCTCTAAACCCCTCCGTCGAGTTCGACTTGAGTTCCTATTACTTCCTGTGCCTTTCCCGTGTTCAATGGTGACCGAAGTCGTCGTTTTGGTGAACTCCGGCGAGGTCCGAGCCTCTCCGGCCATGGCGCCGCCGCACCAGAGAACTGCTCCGGCGACCCCCGTTCCCCCATTTGATCTGCACCGCCCGATCTGAGATCAACGGCCCAGATTAGAAGATACCTCTTCGGTCCATAAGCACAGTGTAGACCAGGCGCACCATCTACGTCAGCACGCCACGTAGGCGGTTCACTATAGACTAGCCACTCAGAGACCGCCACCTATGACCACGTGTGTGCCACGCCAGCGACCGCGCTGACTGCGTGGACATTTTGCTAAAGAGACCCTCTGTTTTACTTAAATCAGCCCGCAATCCACCCTCTGTTGAAAATAATTCAAAATGTGCCCCTTGTTTTTATGTTTTGACCCCAGTGTTTTCCTAAAAACGACGCCCGGTCCACAGGACTGTTTTAATTCCGTTTTTAATTATTTTTAATATGAAATTGATTTCAAAATATTTACAGAATTGCCATTGATCTTGTTTTATGCGTAGTTTCTTCGTTTTAACTCCGATTTGATTCGTTCAACTTGCGTTAGGTTCATAATTCCATAATCTATATGTTCATACTACTGTTAGATATGATTTCAACTTTTAAAATTCGAGGTTAGATCTAATCTATTATTTTATTAAAGGAAATCTTGTTTAATTCATATCTTCTACATTTTAGCTCTGATTTGACCTATTCAAGATGCGCTAGATTCATTACAACGAGATCTACGCGTTAGTAACAATGTTTATCATGCCACTATTTTTAGAATTTCATGGTTTAAACTCTAATTTGGATAATAATTATGCAAGTAGATTTTATAAATAAAATATGATTTGTTTTACTTTAGGTTTATAATTCACATCTAAATTTGACTTAATTCAATTTATATAAGCTTTTATATAGTTAAGACACATGAAGCTTATAGTTTTATATTTTCTCTTATGAATGGATCTTTCGGTAGCCGTTTCTCTCAAACCGTAGCTTCGATTAGCGTGTCTCGTGATTGTGTTCGTAGTGATGCGTAGAATCATGTTTCAAACTCTTTTACTTATTTTTCTATGATTGGTGTATTGTTCTAATGTAGATGTAATTATATGCTATGCATGTATGTGTATGGATGTTTGTGTGGTGTTCTACGATTACATCCATTCGGTGAGATATACGTGGTGATCAAGAAGAAAAAGAAGGACGTTGAAGATTAAAGCTTACCGAAGGATCGGTGTTTTAAGGCAAGTATAGCATGAGATCTTCCTTATTGTCGTATACACATTTAATCATTTAATTCATACTGCATGTGTCTACCTTGACCACCACTAAAGATTTCCTAGTACTTTGTTACCTTGTACCTTGTCACCTATGGGTTATTGCATTAGGTAGTATGATGCCAGTGCTCAATTAAAGACCATGATCTTGTACCTTGACTAATGGTATATGCAATAAACATTAAAATATGCTTTTTAGCAATATGGAACAAGGGGGCTAGAGCATTGGGCTATTTATGGTGCTCTAGATTCCTCTCCCTAAGAACTTATCTGTAAGTGATCATCCGAGACTTATAGTACAGCTGTGAGGGCTACATGGCTCTGGTTTTAGCTCGGTATGAGAACCTTTTCTAGCTTGTTAGAGGTTACCTTTATTGACATAAGAATGGCTTGCCGAATCGGGTATAGGACAACCTCTGTCCCCTTATGTATAGGCTGCGTGTCATTGTACCATCGGGAAGAGGGGTTCCTACATCTGTTTACCAAGTGAATCTAATGGCCCTAACTTGTTAGACAAACCTTTAAAAGGCTTCATAGTAAACCCTACCGACCTTCCTAGGAAGTGGGTCAAGAGGCTGATCACCTCGTGCGAAAGGATAAATCACGATTCACAATGAAAGTGTACAACCTCTGTAGAGTATAAAACTGGTATATCAGCCGTGCTCACGGTCACGAGCGGCCTTGGAACCCTTACGGAATAGACGATGAACACTAATGATACTGATGATAAAGATGCTCATTAATGGTTAATTATTTATGCTATTCATTATTCATGTTTACCTGATCATGTGTTTATGGGCTTGTGATAAACTTGTTGCTACTCAATTGCTAAAATCATGACTCATTAAAAGTTAATCGCAGTTGAACTAGTGTTAGCCTTTTGAGCCTCATGAACCCTATGTTATATTTGTTGAGTACAACATATACTTACGCTTGCTTTACTTTTTAAATCTTTGAAAAAATCCTGGATGGGTACCATATTGCTAGTCTGGAGGAGTTAGGCTTGTGATAAACTAGTCAGTTGTCCCTATGGATTGGAGTCTTCACCTGAAGATCAAAGTTGTCTTTCCGTTGTTTGCTGTCTAAGGTTATATCATTTATACTAAGTACGTTATATATTGAGCATTGTCTTTTGATATTACCCTTATTTGTAGGTATATGTGAGATTTAACTTCCTAGGCTCACATATAGTGCGTATCTGATTTTGTTCTTAAAACCGGGTGCTACGAGCGAAGGAGAGGACACGCAGGAACTTGTCGCGGGAAGGAAGAGACGACGCGGGAAATAGGAAACGACACGGGGAAATTGCGGATACCCATGACTATGGTCCGCACATTTTTACGCATGATGGCGGTCGGTTTGACAATTGCCAAAAGATGGGGAATGGATATGGAGTACTCTTGGACATGAGTTTTTTCTCTTTTTCCCCAAAAAAACATGGATGGGGAAGGGATATGGAGAACTCTTGGAGATGCTCTTAGACATCGCTCTCTCGCTATACCATCAATAATTGTAGGCAACCCTCGGTTTGATCCCTATTTTAAGGTATGGCCCTTCTCTATTTTATATCAAAATAGCCTATTAATAATATATTAGTATGTACTTATGTTCCTATACCAATTGGATGGCTAGGATTGCATCAGCGCAATTGATGGTACCCACATTCCTTGTAATGTACAATCAAGGATTGTAGGTAGGTTCCGTGGTAGAAATTTTTTCCTACCCAAAATGTTCTTGCAGTGGTCGATTTTAATTTGATGTTCACATGTGTAAGTGCTGGTTGGGAGGGGTCCTACGACATTCTCTTGAGCATCCAAATGGCCTTCGAGTCCCTAAAGGTTGGTGTCTAGTCTACCTTTGGAACACTTACATATACAACTTAGTGATATTAATTGTGTTCCCAATGGCCTGGTAGGTAAATACTACCTTGCAGATGCGGGCTATGCAGTAAGGAGAGGATTTCTACCTCCTTTTCGTCAAACTCGATACCATTTGCATGAGTGGAGGGGCAATAGAGCGCGGACAGCAAATGAGCTATTCAACCTAAAGCACTCATCCCTCCGAGTTACTATCGAGAGAGCATTTGGGACACCAAAAAATCGTTTCAAAGTGCTGACAACAAGACCATATTATCCCTTCCCTTCACAAGTACGAGTTGTCATAGCATGCTGTATTCTTCATAATTGGATGTTATAAAATGGGGGACCTGATGAACTAGTCTATAACGAACAAAGTTGGTTTGAGAACTATCCAAGAACAGCTGGACATGTTACTACGAGATTTACGTGAGGAACAGAGGGAAGTACTCCGAGACAGGGATGCCATAGCTAATAGGATGTGGAGAAATAGGAACAATGTTAGGCACGGTTGATGTGTGTTTTTCAGTCATCTATGAAGCTATTTATTATTTTTATGCTGCAATGTAAAGTAGTCCTTTTTATTGTATATATGGATTTCTCTGAATGAAATTTAGTTTCTTTACATGAAGTATCTTACATCCACATAGCCATATGAGGTATATGAATTTTGTCATCTCCAAAAATACTTTAAGTACTGTCACATGCAGGGATGGCAGGAAACAACGTTTTGTGGCAGCCCCAGGTGATGGAGGACATGCTACGATGCTACAAAGAGAAGATACAAGCTGAGGGAAGACTATTGTTTTTTCGTGAGGTACATCACGAGGAGTGCGCAAAACAGATTAATGTAAAGTATCACACAAATTTCACTCAGCGACAAGTTTACCACAAGTATCATAAGCTGAAAGGTCAATGGAAGGTTATACTGCAAGCAAAGAATTTAAAGCGGAGCAAACTTTGATGATGTTAAGAAAATGATACTTTATGATGAAAAAGAGGTTGTCAGGATGCATAATGTAAGTCTTTCTATCCTTATAATTTTGATTTAGTTATGTTACTTATGTATTATATATAGTAAAGTACGAAATTAAGACCGGATATGTGCAGGACAAAGATCCAAGGGCGAAGTTTATAAACGTCCCCATCCATTGCTATGATGAGATGGGATTCATTTTTCAAGACAAGTATGCGGGAGTTCAGTGTTCTACAAGCACCATACGATCTTCCTTCCACTCAGGATGGAGATTTAATTGGTGATAAGAATGCGAATCATGGTGAGGATGTTCACCTAGGTTTGCAGTACGATTCAGAGTGCTTGGCTGAAGAGGATGGCAATAATGGGGGAAGCTCATCTAGTAAGCGTCCTGCTGCTAGCAAGCCTGAAAAAGTGAAGAGGATTAAGCGTGATGATAGAGCCATCTCAGAGGTGACTCATGTTCTGCGTGATATGATTGACGCCATGCGCTTCACTCATGTGACCTCTGCCCTGTTCACTTGGTTGATAAACCATGGCTGAAAGTATCGTTAGCTGATTTGTTGTAAGAGAAAAATATTATTCATTGGCTGAAAAAGTACGGCTTATAAGCCGAGCGAACAGGGCGCTCATGGTGGTGACAAACCCGCTTGAACTCCACGATATGCAAAGGCTTAATTCTGTTCTTTATAAAAAAAAAGCTTAATTCTATTTCAAGAGCGCTTGCTTTCATCATCTCCTTGATGCTGTGATCTTCTGCTCATGAACCATACATTACTCCAAAATTTTCATCACCGCCGAGTTGGGTGGTCCAATCATCGTCGGTTTCAGTTTCCACCCTCGTTGGTTATTATCGCTGGTTTACAACCAGAATGGCAAAATCACCGCTTCAACAATCATGCGACAATGATATGTTAATCGGCCTGTTCGCTGGTTGGTTTTTGGGCTGATAAGTTCGGCTGGTGTTGGTTTGTTATGAGAGAAAAACACTGTTGGCTAGCTGATAAGCTCTGGCTAAAATCAATAAGCAAACATGCTAGTATTTGATATGAGGCTACCCCGGGCAGGCACGAGCGCGACGAATATCACCACCGGCTTCAATAATCACTCGACGGTGAACACCAATTTAAAAAAAAAAAAAAACCAAAAAAAATGCCACCAGGGAGGCCTCACTAACGCCTTGCATGATGATGCCGATTGTGCGTCCAAGAACGCAAGAGGCACGCGAGATCGAGGACTGCTACATCGAGGCTAGGCACAAGTGTGAGCAGCGACTGGCTCGACTTGAGCAGCAAAAGGGGAATATATATTGTGGCCTCTGATCCGGGACTCGGATGACAAACTAGACGCATCCGACGAGCGCGCGGATGATGGCTGGCACGTGCGTGACGTGCTTCCTTATTATTTCACATATTTTTTATGAATACAAAATATATATGTAAATACATTGAAAAGCTATTGAAACATATATTTGATGCATATATTTATCATATTTATGAGGTGTCATCGTATTGTTAGTCCCCCTTAACTAAAAGTCCTGATTCCGCCACCGGTGTGACTGCTGGCGAGGCCGTGTCCGTGTGCACGAGTTTGATGAAGACAATGAGGTTGGCGAAGGCTACGGTAGCAACGCCCAGGAGCACGGACATACCAAGGTCCACAGGACTTCTAAGGGTATGTTTGGATTCTATGATCTAAAGTTTAGATCATTTTTAGCTGACTTGTGTGGTCAAAAAGTTTTGTGAGGCTAGCTAAATTTTAAACATAACTTTAGATGTTAAATTTGAAGCCTCAAGAGTTAAAGTGGTCCAAAGTTTAGTAGCCATAGGATCAAACAGGGTCTCACACTATTTCTACAGCAACTTAAATCGATAACTTGCGACACTTGGTGAACTTTTTAATATAGCAAATTCAAAGGAAGAACCAAGAAATCCTTCCAGCACACAACACAATCACAATGCAGCTTTATAGTTACATTTTCCAACAGACGAACTGCATAGGTTTCTTGTTGTCAAGCACATTATTTGTTCATGCAGTGCACGTGTGATAAGATCTTCTAGGCTTCTAACCTGCTAGCCGGGTCATGACATTCTTGAGCTTGTGCGAGCACTGTTAGCAGGTGTACCATTTCAAGAGCTTGCATTCTAAGCTCTGTTGGATAATCCTTCACACATCCAATTCTGGGGCCAGCTCCAGTGCTCCATTTTAGGGATAACTTGAGGCCAAGCTGATAAGATTCAGTCTCACTCTTGGATTTAATCCTCTCAAGAATTGGCTTCTGAGGGACATCGGTGCCTTTGGGGCTGTGTAGACCACCTGACAAGGTTCTATGGTATGTTAGCTTTGCTTGTTCTGTTGGAGCATCCTTGCCTTCACCCCCTTCCTTTGTGTCTGTAGAGAGAATCACTTGCGAAGGACTGGTATCAACAACAACGTTTTGTGCTTCATTAAGGCATTGTACCATCATGGTAGTCTTCTTTGGTGAATGGCCGCATCTGAATAACCAAAATAAGCTCCATATATATAATAAAACCATCTAGGCGGACATGTATAGGTAAGTCAAAGTTATGGTTGCATTGATGTACCTCAATTTCTTTGAGATTAACTCCATTTTCGTCTAGAAATTTCATGAAATTATTGAGATCCTCTGTGCTTGGTTTGTAGTGACCACTATATGCCCAGATGGACTGATCAAGATAAGATAGTAAACTGAAAAGTATAGTAAGAAATAGGGACTGACCACTATATTGAGATCCTTTGTGCTCATGGCTAAAAAGGAAATAGGGAAACAAAGTCGATGTTCTATTGTCCATTAGCTTGATAAGTAGCAAATCGAAAAGTATAGTAAGAAATATACAACATACCTTTGTGCTATTCTAACTCCAGAAATCACATCATATATTTTTCAAATATCCACTAATCCTAGGTAAATATTGCATGTAATCTAGAAAATGTATACAATAGACATGAAACCAAGGAATAGCTAGGAAAGAAATACTAGGATGGGAGGGAGGGTGGATAGCACTATGTTACATAAGAATATGATACCAATAAAGTTTCTTGAACCAATAATTAATTATATCACAATAAAGCACAAGTTTTCATAGGGCATTATTGCACAACAATACTACCTTGATTACTCCAGCTTTTACAGTAAATTTCCCAGCCGCTATGGTGGCACCTCCTGTTAAAAAGCTAGAGTGCTGAAATACACCTTTCTCCTTCTAGATGAATAAATCAGGTTATAGAGATAGGTAGTGGTCCAAATCATAAGCTAAAACAAATATGATAAAAGACTGTTTCTTAGCAATGCGCACATGGAAATCCTTGTAAAAGTAGACAAGCTACCTTGCCAGCATAAAGTCTTCTTGCTGTGCTCATGACAAAAATCCAAAAAGCCTCTTTAGGACCTTGGTTTGTATCAAGTGGTTCTCCAGATTGCTTATGGATAATTTTTCCCTCGGTAATAATGTATTCATAGAGCTCACGTTCTTTCTACAAAACATTTACGAAATATATGAGCATACAACCACTTGCTAATAGGTTTACTAGAAACAAAATGAAGACATGGAAACTTACAACCACTTGCTAATAGGTATACTAGAAATAAAATGAAGACATGTAATTCACTTTTCCAGTTCTTAGTGTTGTGTTGTTTTTGAACTCGAAAGTTTTTATATATGTCATGATTCATGATGAAAAGGAATAATTGTGTGATAAGAAGTAGACCGGGAATGCCCAATTATATTCCTGTTTCTTGTGTAACAACAATCGAGACTTGATGCCATCTAAAATGCAGTTTGCATTGTAACAGGGTAACATAACAGTAATAACAATATTACAAGAAACCTAACCAAAGTTTGTTATGCTTGAGATTTTTTTTAAAAAAATGATCACTTGTGTTTATACTTAAAGGATAGTGGCCGGTATTTAATTACAAAATTTTATCTGGACCAAAGTCAGGGTGTGTTGGTGGTGAACTTCATCAAGACCTTATACAACTCTTCTTGAAATACTTTGATCATAATATATATGATTTTTAGATAGATAGCCATCCATAGTAGAACATTTCTTACAGGACCAAGATATCTTATGCATTGCTTCTTCAGCAAAGTTCTTGGACACTCGGGAAGATCCACATCTTTTCCATCCCCGACATCAAGCCTACAAATGCATAGGAGCTCGCTGAAATTTCCAGCAATAACACTAGCAATTGATACCTCCAAACATTTTTTTTATGTGTCTCTATTGTCATATATATGTTATATGCAAATTGCTTCAATTTGTTCCACAAATGCAACATGCAAATATTACAAGTTCTCACCAATAGAAGAAGGGCTGACCAGCTTGGCTTTGGCACCATAAATTATAGTAGAAGTGTAGGTTGTGCCCGGAGCGATGTCGTGAGTCAATCTACACAATAACAAATGTATATAGTGATATAATGCCACCATTAATTCTAAAATGTTGCAAAAAAAAAAAATTATAGAGAGATTGAAAGAAATTTGTCTAAGAGCAATATGTGGACTTCTAATGATTAGTGTTCACCCTAAGTAAAATTTTCAAATCAAGTGATATTGGAAAGTAACCTCTTTTCACCCACATGCATGTAGACACATCAGAAAATCTTAAGAATACTATTGTAGTAAAATGGATTTTGTGGATAAATATTAGTGGGTTTGTACTAATTGTACTCACAGCCTCGATCCAGTGCTAAAAAGCCAACTTGAGAGCCTTGGCCTCCCTGGAGAGACCGTGACCCACCTGTGTCAGGCACATAAGTATGGCCAAAAGTTATTAATATAAGTGAGAACTCTGAACAAAAGCAGATATCCTAAAATGTATGATTAATCAAGATTTTTGAGGTAGCAACTGAGACAACCTTCAACGCGTTTTGGCTAATACGATTCCAATGCGAGGCAGCAGTCTTAGGCTTGGGTTCGTCGAAGAAGGAGATAGTGTTGTAGTTAAGTCGAGCGAAGTCCAGTGCTTGCCACCTTCATTAATCCATCAAATCCATAAACCCCTCGATGTCAATTAAAAGTTATTTAAATACAGTAAGAATCAATTCAGTTTTCTTGGAACACCAGAATATTTGAGAAATGAGATTTTTTTTTTCATGGAACAAATCATACATATGAGCACGTACCAGTCTACTTAAACTATACTGTGTTATGTACTTATATGTATGTGATGTGATAGAAAAATTATAGATTTTTTATATGTTAAAATAGAAACAAAATAAAAATGGTGGATTTTGATCTAATATGTTTTTTCCATTCTGGGTTTGCTCCAAATTAACTTCATAACTGGATGCAAACTATTTAATTTGATCACCTCTTATATAGGAGTTCAGACCATTTGGAAAGTGCAAGCTGAAATCTAGAATCCACATTATATTTTCTAAACAATATCTTGAGCAAAATATATGTAAAAAAGGCTAATATAATATACTTGGGCTTGCTAACGTCACCCTCCTAGACTCCTCTTTCCTCTCATTTCCTTTCTCACTCATCTTTTTTTCTCTCGCAGGCTCACCCTGCTTCTCACGAATTTAGGGCATGTTTTGAACACGGAAAAGAATTCATGTTCCTGTGTTTTTCCTATGGAATTGAATTGATTCCTATAAAATTCCTGCATGATTCCTATGAATATTTTTCGCACTTTTTTTTCCCAAAACACTATGATAATCTCCTCTGCCTTCTACTGGATCCTTTTGAAACATATATTTCATAAAAGAGGAAGAACTGTACATTCCTTTTTTTTCTGTATACTTTTGCTTGTCAGTTCGATATTTTCATGACTGCACTTTTTTTTTGCTTGGGTATTGTTTTTGTTGAGATCTTAAGTCTCATGCTATAACTGTCAATATATTCGAATATAACTATTCAAAGAATTTTTTTTACTATGGTTGAGGAGACGCCTGTGAAGCGTTATTGTGTTTATGATTGGTGGGCCCATAAGAGGAAAGGCGTTGAGAGGCGTCAATGAGGAGGCGTTAGATGTGTCTATGGTCGGTGGGCCCATATGGCGTAACGCCTCCCAATGCCTCCAAAGTTTAAAGGATTAGGACTTCAAATAAAAGAGTGACAATTGCTTTTTCGTGGTTATTTTTTTAATTAAGGGAAAAACGGTAAATTCACAAATGTAAAAATAATGTTTTGAGTAGTATAGTTGAGATTTACATAGTTAGATGGAGATGAATATTTTCGTCTTGTTAGGGTTCATTCGCCGCTGTCTCTATTCTCCGTCTGTGTGCCGTCGTCGTTGTCATCACCGTCTCGGCGGTGTTCAGGGTCGGGTTGGAGGATCTTGGCGTCCGGAGAGGGGGTGGAGGAGGAGGGAGAGGAGGGAGGCGGAGCGCTTGGCCGTCTCGCGCGGGGACGCTGTGTGGGGGCAGGGTCGGGGCGACGCTGGCGCGGTCGTCGGCGGCCGGCATCCCCTGGGCCAGGAGCCCTTTCGGGCTCCCCGGTGGCATCGCACAGATGCTGGTGACCTCGGCGTCCACACCGCGTCAGTTCTTCCGCCGCCCATTCCCGCCGCCGTCCCTGGCCAAGCACATCAAGGAGTCCTCGCTCGCCGTTCGGCCGTCGCTCGCCGGCCTCCGCGTCGTAGGTGCCCAGGCCGCCCGTCGAGGTCCCGATCCTTTTCGCACATGGCAAGAGCCTTGGCCGTCGTTTGGCCGCTCGTGAAGGGATGCATCACCGGCAGCGTGCTCGGCATCACCGTCGCCGACTGGGTCGCCACCGTCGTCACCATGGACAGCGCCTCCATGCACCCCCACCCTTGACCTGCAGCAGGCCGAGCGCGCTCTGGTGGAGAAGCACTGCCTCTACCGCTACGACTTCTCCCGCGGCGACGTCGTCGTGTTTAGGTGAGTTAAAGTTGCCGCCGCCGGCCCGCCTCCGGGTCCGTGGGCGTTTCTTGGATTGGTTGGTTGTTGATGTCGCTGCTGTTGCTCGTCGCAGGTGGCCGAGGGACCATCGTGAGCTGATGGTGAAGAGGCTGATTGCGCTGCCTGGGGATTGGATCCAGATCCCGGAGAAGCAGGAGATCCGGCAGATCCCGGAGGGCCATTGCTGGGTTGAATGGGACAACGTCGCCCTCAGCTTTGACTCGAGATCCTATGGCCCTATAAGTTATTCATCTCGTTACTGGACACAACTACGTTATTGGCCTAGGATAAATTGCTTGTTAATTGCAAAAGGAAGGCCTGACTGTGTAGCTGTGTTACAGGATAAAAGCCAGTTGCTTACTTGGTTACCAAAGTGATAGTTTTAGTTGTTTATTCGTAGGGATCTTTTTAATCTTGATGAAAACATCTTGAATTGGCATCTTGATCACTGGAGGAATTTAACGGTATGCTTTGCAAATCCGAGCCATTGACACAATGCTATTTCATTATTCATATTTGTATCCCCATTAAAAAGTTCAAAGTACCAATTTCATTC